CATTGTATACCCCCTCAGTTGGGAGGACAAATATCTGATCTATATAAGTTACATGCTCGCCTGGATGTACTTCTACAAATGTCTCCAATCACTTGATTGGGCGCTACATACTCATGACAACAGATCGATGTCTTAACATAAGGCCTACATGGACACCCCCTTTTCATTTTCTCTATAACTACTTGTATTGTGTAAATTAATATTAGCTTACGCAGTATATTTCACGTGCTGGTAAACACTGGACTCATTAATCGATAGCATCCTTTCAGATCCGAGCTTCTATTTGTAGGAGCATGAACGAGAAGCTATTGGTTATGGCTTACTTACGTCATATTTGCCAAAGTTAAATGGAATATATTGAGAAGAGCATTGATATTTCCAACGGAGTTGGTCCTGACTTTAACTAGAGGGAATTTCATGTTGTCTCTGGTAAGACATGTATTTTTTGCAGACTTTTAAATTGCCTTGAAATTTTCAATACTTGCAATATTATAAATTATATATTGCTCATTGCTCATGCACTAACACCTAAAACCTAGAAAGAAAACAGTTATTTCTCAAGAACGTTTGTCAAAAATGTTTAACATTTATACTTTTAATGAAAAGGAGGAAAACATTTCTTTAAAAAAAAAAATAAAATAAGAGAATTCCAGACGACAAAGAGCATATGATTTATGAGCCCCTTGATATATTTATAAAATTTTCATTGAAATCACAATGGTTCATCATGTTATCCAAACTATTTTAAAAAGTTTAGGGATATATACTGTCTTTTTTCTTTTTTTATAATTTTTTTCCCGATACTTTTTTGTCCAAGAGTGTTCTTGGAAAATACTCATCAAGTTGTCGTGAAACATTTCTAGGGTTGATAGAAATGTGTGTTGATTACTAGTATGCGCGCACATGCATGTACATGCGTTCACGTGCATTTGATGCGTGAAACGACTGCATGATAAACTGATAATTGAGATATTTTTAACTATTTTTTTGTGATAATTTATTTTTTAAATCTCAATATATGAAGAGAAAATTATATAATGGTGTGTTCTACACAGAGCTACCAGGCAAAAACCAGTTCAAGGGGTTTTATGAATTTACAAATTTTCTAGAAATGCTAACTACTAACATTTTACTTTTCAATAATTAAATCGAACCTAGCTGCATATCGGTGTTAAGTTATATTTTCCACTTTTTAGTAAATTATGTGAATTGGCCGAACATTTTAAAGCTTTTAAACTAAACATAAAGTATTGCTTGAAAGAGAGATTTACTTTTTTTTTACAGAAAGTTATCGGAATTTGGGGGGAAATAAAAATTGATTTTGTTATTTTCTCTTGCAAGGGGAGTCCCTTATTAATTTATAAATCACACAGTAAAGCTCCTTTTGCATGAATACGGACAAAGCAAATTTATGAGAATAGCTTAAGTTTTTCAGGATCCCCGGCAAAATTTTTAACAGTTAGTTGCAAACTTTTTTTTTTTTATTCCGGACAGGTTTTTGAAAAAATGAAATTTGCATCTTTTTAAACAAATTTTTCAGGGTTAGTCTCAAAGTTTGAAATATAAAAGTGACATTATTTAATTCATAAGTATTTACATTAATTATGAAGTTCATTTCATCAGAAAACTATTAAAGTATTAATGATATAATACTTTCCTATACATACTGAAAAAAAACGTATACTATATTGCGAATATACAGTATACATATACCTTGAATATAATGAATCACTGATATAGCGAGGGAAATACAGGTCTGAGAACTTCGCTATATCCAAGTTTTACTGTAACTGCATAGAAAATCAAGAATATCCTTTAATGAAGAATTCATATTCTTACAAGTTGAAATGCTATTGAATGTATTTGTTTATTCAGTGAAAGCTGCTTCAACAGAAAAATAAATACAGATTAACTCTTTCACCACCACTTTTGATTTCCAATTAAATCAATCCAGATTACACAAGCAATAACATATACATGTGTGAAAGTTTCTTTCTTTTCAATACTAGTATTACAAGATTAAAAGATCTTTGGTTACATTGACCGTACTTGTGGATCTAATTAGCTTTAAGTCTTAGTCCATAAAAAACCAATAAATATACAATGTTGTCTCTTTGAGTGAAATAGTGTTCGATGATAATCCATTTCTATTTACATAATTAGCCGTTTAAATATTCATATACTAAGTAAAGTGAATGTAATCGCGTATATATGAGTTTTATTGGTAAATAATTTTTCGTTTTTTCCATCCTGGGACATACACAAGTAATATGGATTTTAGCATTTACATGCAATAGCAATGGTATGTAATTCAAAATTCCCTTTGCATCATTGGGAGGTATGGTCTGTAACTCTTGAATACTTGTTTTTTTAACTTTAACGTTTTATTTAGATCTAGCTAACATAAATATTATAAAACAAATATGGTTAATGTTTAATGTTAAAAAGCTTTAAAATATTTATTTTATCTTGTTTTTGTTTCACACATTAAATTGAACATTTTTTAAAACAAAAATTTTCTGTATTTATAGTCAGTAGAACAATGTGCTATTTTTAGCAGTACAATGTAGTATTTTTAGTAGTACAGTATAGAATTAAAAGTCCGTGTAATATCGATATCAACACGCTTCTGACGAAAGGTGAAGGTCATTAAAGTGACCACCTGATTTTTAAATCCATTTTTTTTAACTTTCAAAACACGTTTGTTTTCAAAACAAGTTGTTTTCCTCAAGCAATCACATATCAAACAAAGTACAATGTTAAGCTTTAGAAAAAATATATAGTTTACAGCTGCTTTTTCAATAAAAATGGAACTCGTAAATTTACTTACCTGCTCATTGGTCATTTGCAAAATTATTTTGTTAAAACACATTCTGATTGCACACACAAGTACTCTGAAGTTGATATAAAAAAAAGATGCTTGAGTTTCTGATTGACAGTATCTATGCTTTTTTTTTTGGAGACCAGGTATTCCAACAATCTATTGGAATTCCCATGGGTATCAATTGCGCTCCGATATTAGCAGTCCCATTTTTGTATTCATATGAAGCAGAATTTGTGCAAAATATTATGAAAAGAAGAACACACTTGCTGTGGCCTTCAACTCGACATTTAGGTATATCGACGACGTATTGACAATTAACAATGCTAATTTCCATTCTTATTTCGATACGATATCCTGGAGAGCTTGAGATAAAAGATACCACAGAGTCTGACACACCTGCTTCATACTTGAATATTTTACTTAAAAAAGTATTTAATGGTAACCTAACAACCAAGCTGTATGATAAATGTGATGACTTTAAGTTAACTTTTCAATCATCAACTTCCACTACTTATGCAGCAATATACCTGCATCGCCTGCATATGAAGTTTATATATCTCAATTGATTCGATACGCAAGAGCATGCTCTACGTGTGAACTCGATACGCAAGAGCATGATCTACGTATGAACAATTTCTAAAACGAGGTAAATTATTGAAAAAACCAGTTGATGAAACAAGAATACCAGTAGTCTCGCTTAAAGACATCATTTGGTAAGTTCTGTGGTCGATGCAACGGACTTAATAGTCAGCAAATACAATTAATCATGAGGCAAATGCTGACTGACGTTTTTCATACAAATTATTATAGTCCATTATTTATACACTGACAAGGAGCACACGGCGGGTGTGAACGGTCGGCAAAGAATGCTCACTCATTCATGGCACCTGATCCCACCTCTGGTGTTTCGGAGGTCCGTTTTTGCTCTGCACCTATTTTGTACTGTTTCATGGACTTTGATATTGAATGCTGTTCGTTATCTCCATATCCTTCTTTCCCATAGAAAGATTTTCCCCACTTTAGAAAGGCAAAATAATTGTATAATTCAGAGAGAACTATTTCGGCTTACATTTGATATGAACAAATGTATTAAAAAAAATTAGATCTTTGGCGGAATTCTACACTAGTTTTTTCTCATGCAGAGCTAAATTCTACACTAAACATGCTAAAGTCATATTTCTCTGGAAGAAATCTCACTAGGCGGAATTTTACATTCGTCTTTTTTCACTGGGGAAATTCTATACTATGAGACTCTTTACTCTTGGGAAGAAATGCATGGGTCGTTTTATTCTTTGGGGAAATGTTAACTAAAAGCCAGTTCTCCGGGGGAAGGATATAAGAGGGAACACCTCAATTTTTTTTTTACAAGAAGGGTTATCACTCGATGCTTGAGATTGCATCATACCAGCAGTTTTAATAACGCATTGGCTAGTGTTATGTTCTTAAAATGATCTCTTTCAGACTCCATGAAGAAAATCACACAACACAGACCTCTAGATCTGTTCTGGTAACCTTATGAAATCATTCAAAACTTCCAGTAATTCGTCAAAACAGTTTCCATTGTACTCACACTCTACAGAAATCCGAGCTATAACCACAACGCTAAGAGGCGACTAAAAGGAGTTTGGATTTGTAAGTTTCCTGGTACTGTCTCATTTCTATACTGAAGGAGGTTGGGAAATTAAACTTATGAAGACCAAGAACAGTTTCCTTTGAAAAGGTAAGATAATTCAAATACAGAGAGCAGTGCTTTTGTAAATTTTAAGGTAAATGTCTCAAATATTAAGCTGTTTTTGTTTTATAACATACAAATTAGACAACATCCCTCTCTTTCTAACCTTCTTCAAGCACATTTTTATATTTTCTGAAATTCAATTTATTAAATTTATTTTTCACCTTGTATGGCTATAGGATACATGCCAGAGGACTTTTACTGCGATAATATTGATCAGGTGCCATAGGAGTCTCCCCTGAAAAATAAGGAAATCTCTCACAACCTTCTTCAACCCCACTCCTCTCCGAGAATATTTTTATATTTTCTGTAATTCAATTTATTAAATTTATTTTTCACCTTGTATGGCTATAGTTAGGATACATGACTTTTACTGCGATGATATTTTTATAATATCTTGAATCTTGTAGATATTTCCTTCTGAGGTGAGACAGAGGTGAAATGATCATGAAGCTGACAACGTTTGCGTGTGGATTCAGTTTTGTCATCGTGGACATTGTCTTCTTTCTTTATAAGACGGGCGAATCCATGTTGGATGCCACAACTCGACCATATTTGGTTCGTGCCGTGTGTTATGAAATGTTTAAAGATGAACAGGCAAAGAACGAAACTACATGTATGAATTTAGATAAATACCCCGTGCTAGAAGATTACGTTCAAAGTAAATCAGGAAATTACCTCATCTACTACCGACTCTTGTTAAATATTCCCGCCATTGCCCTCTCGTTATTTTGCGGGTCATACAGCGATCGGTACGGCCGGAAAATCCCCATCATTCTCCCGAGTCTAGGGAGCGTGTTCGCTGTGATGCTTTATGTCGCCAGCAATATGGTGCCCGAGCACAGGATAGCGCTAATTCTAGGGGGCTCTGCAGTTCAGGGATTTTTTGGCAAAAGCTCCGTGATAACTATGGCTGTTAATAGCTTCGTGTTTGATTTGTCGGACGCTGGGGATCGTACCCGGAACCTTGGAAAGCTCCTGGCCATGAACTTCTTTGGATTATTTATGGGGTCATTATTCTCAGGAATATTTCAAGACGTCCTTGACCTCAACGCCGCTTTTGTGTCGGTTGTTGTTCTCCATGGAGCGTCCATTCTATTCACCATTGTCCTCGTGGACGAAACTGTGGAAAGGAAGGAGACCGAAGACGACCAGAGTTCATCGTGTGAGTTATGTGAAGTGTTCAGACCCTCAAACATCAAAGAAACGCTAGCTGTCATGTTCAAATCTCGTTCTGGAAATAACAGGACTATTATTCTGGTTTTGTTTTTGGTTTCTTTAGTGAACCAGACCTGTAAGGTCGGGGAGATGGATATAAACCTGTTGTTTGTGACTCGATCTCCCTTGAACTGGTCCAAGTCGTGGTATGGCTACCTTCTATCCTTGGACTACGCCGTTATGGGAATGTGTTTGTTCATTTTTCTGCCTTTATTCTCCAATAAGCTCATGCTTACTGATGTTTCCATTATGATATTAGGAATCGGGTGTAAGTTCATCAGATTAATATGGGCGGGATTTTGTGATGAAACTTGGATGGTATTTGTTTCCGTTGCTATAGGAGCGATGGCGGGAATGATTACTTCCGCTCTGCGCTCATTGGTCAGTAAAGCAGTGCACGTGGATGAAGCGGGAAAAATGTTTTCTCTACTTTCCTGTGGCGAAACATCTTCCAAATTCTTAGGTACATTGATATTTGTCAATCTCTATAGTGCTACCGCTCATATATTCCCAGGTATTGCTTTTATGGTAGAAGCTTTTATATATCTAATTCTGTTAGGAGTTCTCGTAATTATGTATAAGCAGTTGCGTGACCTTCAGAGCTGTGATTTGTTACAATCGCTCAAAGAACAAACAAATTATGGCACCACCGAAAGCCACCAATCAAAGGAAAGTAAGCAATTACCGGAAATAGACGAAATGGAGGAGAATCAAGCACACCCCTCTATGTATCCCGCCACCACACCATGATCCACGCCGCCACCACACCATGATCCGCCCTCCTGACGACTGCCGCGTGTTCTTGACAAGTGTTCTGTTATAGTTTATATCGAATAATACAATACTCGTTATTAAATAAAGCTGCCAAATCAAAACAATTGTCCAATTGCTTATTAGAGTGAGACTATGGTTTTATCCTTACTTTTGTTATGATTTATCATAAATCCTACCAAATATAATTCTGTGCAAAAAAGAAAGAGAAATAAGAAAGATCCAATTTTTTGTTGTGTTTTTACAGAAAATGAAAGTGATGTTGAGTATATAAAGGGTTGTAAAAACAAAACAAAAAATGTCGATTTATTTTTCTTTCTTTTTCAAAAACTTTCTGGTAATATATACATGTACTTTTTCCCAGATTGATCCGTGTCCCACTTTCAAAAACCATACTCCACCCATTATCGATATTCTATTGAGTTATTTCACTATATGTATGTGTACTATCATACTGAAAAATACTTCAACCCCCCCCTTTGAAAAAACTGAACATGACGATATTTAATGAAGAAGGACAATGACACTAAAGCATAGAGACACAACTTGTAATTAATAAGAATATCAAAATAACACTGACTGTTATTGCAGGGGATGCTCAGTCCTCCATGACACCTGATCCCACCTCTGATGTTTCGGATGTCTGTGTTTGCCCTGCTCTTATTTTGTATTGTTTTATTGACCTTTGATCTTGAATACTGTTTCTTATCTCTATATATGTTTCTTTTAACAATATAATAAAAAAATCAGAGGAAATGAACTATATAACACTGACCACGATAAAAGAGCCAGGAAAACTAACTTTAGGGAGGAAAATTATAAACTCCTTAGGTATAGGGGGATGACACAATAACCAATTCTAACCTCTTATAGGGATCGACAAAATTAAACAACTTTAATATAGGAAGAAAATAAGACCATCTTTGAAAAAAAAAATAAATTATGAATGTTTGCCCTCTCCAAACAAACAAACAAACATTACTTTAAAGTTCTATAGTCTTGCACAAAAACTCTACTGTATATAATTGTGAGAAAAATAAGAAAACACTTACTTAATGTCGAAAAAGATTAACCTAATTACCATTAAGTTGAATGAGCTGGAACTGAAAGGTTTGTGAAGGTACAGAAGCTTATTGCACATCCACTGGACGCTCGAAATCAGCTTCCTCAGGTAAAAGGGCTACTGAGAAAACGAGGAGAGTCCGTGAAACATTTGTTTCTTTGTAGAAACAAGTTTTTTTTTGTCCTCAAATGCCCTCTGTGTGAAAACATCTAATTACAAAACTCCTACATCTACAGAAAACTACAGAAAACCATGACAACTGATATCTAATTATACAAAATGCATTTCTAATTAATATTATATTGAAAAGATTTCAAGCTTTTTAAAAGGAATGTAGTAAGATTTTTTTACGCCAGAAATTTTAAACGGAATCATTAATTTAACCAAATTTTACAATCAACTAAAATTTTCGGTCTTAGTCGTAAGTTCTTTTGTAAAACGGTCACCTGCTTTTTGTCGAACCCCGTATGCCCCCAGAGTGAGAATCAAAATTCCGTAACTTTATTACTCATCTAAAGGATACTTTCAAAAACAGTTCGAAAATATGACTGAAATGAAATATATGGAGATAATGAACAGCTATTCAAGCTCAAAAGTCCATTTAACAATAGAAAACAGAAGCAGAGCAAACATGGACCTCCAAAACATCAGACCATGGAGGATAAGTATGAAAAACGTCAGTTAGCATTTGGCTCAATGATAAATTGTATTTGCTGACAATGTCATTGTACAATGAAGCGCATTGAAGAACTTTCGAAAAGTTTTGACTATATTTAGAGTGTTTATTGTCATCTTTTGACACGCCCATTTCTTTAGAAATTGATAAAAGCAACTTGTTTAATTGTAGAACAGGTTTTCCATAAATATAATAGCCAATCAAATTGAGGATTTAAATAAAAAAAACACGTGTTCGACCAAAACATGTGTTGTGGTAACTTCAATAGACATGAATCAATTCAAAAATATGTACATATTCGTTGCAAAACAGAAGCGGGGACTATCTCTTTTCTTCTATTTTTTTTAAAGCTCCATTTCATTAACAGTAGTGAAGGATGTCCTAAAACGTCGACGAATATTACTTTCTCGTTTCTAAAAATATGGGCGTGTCATTATGTTATAATTGACCTTCAAAACATGACTCAGAACTTTTCATCCAAACGGAGAATTTTACCACTTCAATGCGCTTCATTGTATCAATTGACAATAGATCTTACGAAATGATGACTTTAAAGGAGACTGCTGATATTCTTATTTCAGCAACTTGTTTAATTGTCAATTGTTACGTCGATTTAAAGAAATAGTCATACGTATTCATACGTAGAACATGCTCTTGCGTATCGAATCAATTCAGTAAATTTTAAACCAAGCCTAACCCTTTTTTACTTCTCACTAAGATATTAACAGTTTAACAGTTTAAATTATTTTGTTATTTTAAAAAAAAATTATTATTATAACATATATACATACATGCGTGAGCATTACATATAACATATATGCAAAGTGTGCTTATTAATATAATGAAATATTTTCATATAATAATTTACAATGATGTTAACAGTAGTGAAGCAGAAACGTCAAGTGTACTGTGCAACAATATATTCAAGAAGTTGTGTAAATCAGATGTGGATACTTAAAAATTCCAAAGAAGTTTTGGACGATTTGAAATCACAAGATTTCAACAAAATCAACAGCTTGAAAACTTACGACTTTTCAACTTCATACACAGCCATCCCCCGATAAACTGAAGTCCAGGCCTTTTTATATCATTGACGGCTGCGTTTAACTTTTTATACGTCATTACAAAATTATTTTGTTAAAAAAAAATTTGATTGTACATACAAGTACCCCGTACTCTGAAGTTGACATTGAGTTTCTGATTGACAATATCTATGTGGTGTTAGGAGACCAGGTCTTCCAACAATCTATTGGGATTTCCATAGGTACCAATTGCGCCCATTATTAGCAGACCTATGTTTGTATTCATATAAAGCAGAATTTGTGCAAAATCTAAAGCGTGAAAAGAAAAGAAACACTTGCTGTGACTTTTAACTCGACATTTAGATATATCGAGGACGTATTGTCAATTAACAATGGTAATTTCCATTCTTATGTCGATATTATATATTACTGATGAGCTTGAGATAGAAAATACCAAAGAGTCTGACACAAAGTCATATGTTTCATACTTGGACATTTCACTTGATAAAGACGCTAATGGTAATCTAACAACCAAGCTCTATGATAAACATGATGACTTAAACTTTTCTGTCGTCAACTTCCTTTACTTATGCAGCAATATACCTTCATCACCTGCATACGGCGTTTATATACCTCAGTTGATTCGATCTGCATGAGCAGGCTCTACGTAAGAACAAATTCTAAAACGAGGTAAATTATTGAGTAACAAGTTGATGAATCAAAAATAGGAATATTAGCAGTCTCCTTTAAAGACATCATTTCGTAATTTCCATGGTCGATAAAATGACCTTTTTAGCAAATACAAATTATCATTTAGTCAAATACTGAGTGACATTTTCCATACTATTTGTTAGTCCATTGTTTTTACACTGAATTGACGACGGGGTTTTCCGTTATTTCTCGATCATGACAAGGAGACCACGGCAGGTATGACCGGTCGACAGGGGATGCTCACTCCTCCATTGCACCTGATCCCACCTCTGATGTTTTCAAGGTCCGTGTTTGCTCTGCTCCTATTTTGTTTTGTTTTATGGATTTTTGATATTGAATACTGTTCGTAATCTCCATGTTTCATAAACCCCGTGTGCAGGTGATGAAGGTATATTGCTGCATGGGTAAGGGAAGTTGACAATTGAAAAGATAAAGTCATCTAATTTGTCACAAAGCTTGGTTGTAAGATTACCACAAACGCCCTTTTTATGTAAAATATATTAATATGAAACAGAGGTTAAAATGTCGTTTTTGACACTCAATTATCCCTAGGGTGTAAATTGAAATTCCGAAACCTTCTTGAGTTCTTAACAGATCTACAACACACTCACAATTAAATAACAAAACATTACTGTGCTACCGTTAAAAATTTAAGAGAAAGTTCAGACAACCAAGGTTTTTGTAGAAAAATGTTTGTTTTAAATCCGATTGCCCCCAGATTAAAGTTGAACTTTTTCAGAATGTTTAGACATGTTCAAGACACCACTGATTATATTCCAGATGAAGAGTTAGTTATATGTTGCAAAATATACATGAGAAGTCCAGGGAAGCACATTTTTGTAGACTACTACATGTACATACCATGGTTCCAAAATTTTACGATGTATTTGAGAATCAATATTTGACAAGTTTATATTTTGTGAGGAGTAAGGCTAGCAGCAAAGAAAAAGACATATTGAATCCTTTTTTTCTGAGAGTTATGATGTTTAACAATATCTATTTTGGATATGAAAATCATTAGCTTTCTCTGAATATATAATACGTTAATGGTGAACTTAATTTTTAAAGAATTTCATCCAACTAGCATAATGGGTCAAAGAGATAATAATCCAAAACGAATTTTAAACACTTTTCAAAATTTTTAAAGTCTGAAATAATCATGAGGATGAAAGATGTGTGCAAAATGTTTTTGAAAGTAAAAATGAATATAATGAATATACATGCATATGTTTGCTAAATTTAACTGATTTTCATGTACTTTGTACGATAACTGTCACAACGACAACCGTCATTTCAGTAAGTCCCTCGTGTTGTAATCGAAAGAAACTAATACCCTATTCCGCGTCAAATTAACTTGTAGCTTGCGGTCATGACATTTATATCAGGTAATATTTTTTGTGCTTATCGCGTGAAATGTGGATTATCCAATGACAGAATATGATATTAAGTGCCACTTACGATAGAAGTCCAGCTACATATAGCGCTGTTTCCATATCGGCGATGCTGTTAAGGCGATTAATATACAGGTCATGATCGATTTATTGACGTTAAATGTACTCACTAGAACTTCGATTGCCATTTATAAAAATTAACACGTTTTTCTACTGAATTTTATCTACAAATATAAGCAGATAT